TTCGCTATTCGACATTACTAGACTACATATTATGCTCAAAAGGAATAACAGCGACGCCTATCTTTCACGCGAATATGGTCGAAAGATATTTTATCATAGGGAATAAAAATATTCTGTACCGCCAGGCGTTTCTCCTCGCATCCTGATGGGAATCGCACTGACTGGCAGAAGCAGCACAACATTATGCAAAGTTCATTAAAACCGAGCTCCAAGAACGGCTGCAGTGCAAGCAGTCCCCCCTCCTCCCTTCCTCTCTCTTTCTCTCTTCCGCCTCTCTTCCTTCTCATATCGCTTCTGAAGTCATGAAGCGTCCCTCTCTATCCTCTAAACTTGGCCAACTTTACTTACAACCGTCTCAGCCCCGCCTGCGAACTTGCTTGCACCTCTTGACCCTATATAGAGTGATTCGTGGCGTTACAAGTTGCACGTAAGATGCGGTCGCACAAGTCGCTTGGGCAGTAAAAGATTAACGAGATTACATGCTCTGGTCGCCTCAACGCGTACAAATACATCGCTCCATTAAGATGCTTGAATATGTTTCTCCTCTGCATATTGCTGTGTACACATTCTCGTTCTGGCAATTATTCATGAAAATTTACATTGAAAACATTGCGTTTTCAAAAGCATTGCATTTGATTTTATATCTCCAGGCTCCAAGGGAAAAATAGTTTTTTATACAGTGTCTTGAGCACATTAAGTTTTATCTCCTTTAACTTTTTTTGCGAGTCTCATTTCTAATATCGTATAAAAAATAGTAAAACGCTTTCCAAATAATTACAAACAGCATGTTCATCCTGTTTTGTCTGTTTTTTTTTTTTTTTTTATTAATTACGAGCAAATTATTATACTTTACTGATTCTCTATCGGGTTAAACGATTTAATTGCGATAACTTCACTAACTCACATTCCGCACGTACAGTTCGCCGAAATCGTTACGAGTTCACATGTGATCGCCTGGCAATCTGTCCTGTTCGAATGGGAACGTAATTATCGGATAACATCACTACATGGAATTTCGACTTGTCCATATAGTACTATGACGTATAAATCGTGTACAGATTTTCGCCACTATCCGAAGGTAAAGGGTTCCTACGAGACCTTTCGTGGCGTAAAGCGAAGAAGTAATGGGAAAAATTTTTTTCGTAAAAACGAAAATTTTCGGATTTTTTTCGGCTAGCGAAAACAGCTACTGATGTCTTTGGTAAAAGCAAAGTGGCATAAAGCGAACTTTCGAAAAGTGAGAGATACCTGAACTGCAGTGAGTGGAAGTGCCGCTCGGGAATCGCTACGAGGAATAATAAATCAAGATCTTGCTACACATTTAAATTTAAATATATCTCGCGTGAAAAAGTTATGAGAAAACGAAAATTTGCGGAGTAAAAGCAAGGTCAAATCTTCGGGTAAGTATCGGACAAAGTTTGCGCGCGCATAAAAATTTCCAGAGGCGTTCCGCACCGTCGCTTTTAACTTTGTAACAAAGTAACGACGTGATGTGTCAAAGGAATATACAAACGGAATTTTCGACATGGATTTTACCATTGCCGCAATTTTGTCCGCAGCAACGTACGATTGCAATTAGTAAAAGAATTTTAATCGTTTATTTCGCCTTTTATAGTTAGACATTAAAAAAAAATAATCCTGCGTAGAAATTACTTAAAAACAGAGCAACTCCGCAAAAACGTTAACTTCGTTAATTGTTAATTGTTATTTGTTAATTGTATAAAGAGGTAAATAATTTTGCATATCTAGAATAACCGATGCAAATATAATTCAATCACTCAAACCTTTTGGAAGTCGTATCATTTGCGTGCAAATAAGCTGGGCGTTAAAGTCCAAATATTCACATTTGCAATATATTCGAAACATATATGTGAAGCAACTGGGACAAGTATATGAGTAAAGTAAACAAATTTGAATTCACTTCAATATGACTGAATATAAAAAATATCAAAATGAATATAAATCGATTTACTGTTACAAATGCAAAATAGCATGTTAGCGAAACCTGTCATGCACGTATATCATGCGTCAATTATCTGCAATTTATACATTCTGATCGTATTATCAATTTATCAAAATTATTTTACTTTTATTTTATTCGTAAAATTATTTCGACATTTTATATGCGTTTATACAATTCCTCGAGATAAACATAGAATGTCCAATGATATTAGCAACGATTTTAAAGACAGATTTTCTCAACTATTTAAAATTAATTTGTCGTTAATTGGGATCCCGAAACGGTAATTAGTTTTAGCAAATAGTTAAATACTAATGGTAGTTAAATTCGAGTGAACTTTATTTGTGCTAAAGTTACTTTATTTAATTACTGAGATGAATAACTTTAAATGATAATAGATAATAGTCGTCTCTTTTAAGTTTTTCTTAGGGAAAAGTTAATTCCCGATTAAAGAATATCTGTCACTAAAAGTTAAGCCGGAAGTTTGAAACGTATAGCATCGCAAATTAACACAATAAGATTCCTAGAGTGTGAATGTTAGCCCGTGTAGAAGAAATTTTATGACTTGTGAAAACTTTTAAACTCAGAACGCGAGAAAAGAGAAGAATCGGAATCCGGGGCCAATGGCGAATGTAAAACGAAATGAATGTAGCAGTGCGGACACGATATACGGAAGATTTTTGGCATTGAGCCACGATTCTCAACGAAATAAACTAACGACGAGATATACCATGGGGGTTGGCGACGTGGTAGATCGGTTCGGAGATAAATAAATTGCAATGATGGCGCAGTCTCTTTTCTCCGTTGTCGTGCTTGCGCGTACCGAAATATATCGCTCGGAATTAATAGCGCGTCGTGACGGCGCATCGCCGCGAGGGAGATTTAAATCGGACGATATATCGCCTCTTCGCGTCCTCATTGTGCACCGATTCTTGGAGGCCGGCGTTTTCCGAGAGCTTCTGCAGGAATACGTTATCTGATAACATTCTAATAAGAGTCACGAAGCAATATCGTTTAATTTGGCCTAATTCCTTTATGTCTCAATAAAATTGGTTCTTCTACGTGACATCGATTCCTGATTGTGCTTTTGCGTTACATTTCACACCAGCATTTTCGGAGAAGAATAAGAATTGTTGCCTAACGATTCTCGCCGAAACGTGGCGGTACGTGATTGAACTTAGACATTGCGTCGTGATTCTTATATTAAAGAGATATTTATATATATCTATTTGAAATGAAATCGCTAGCACATATCGATGACGATGTTACCGGAGTCCATGGCACGAGAGAAGTTTAGAGTTCTGGAGTGTGAAAGCTGAAACTTCCGGTCTAAATCCGGTCAAGTCTTTTATGCTAATGTAATTTAGAAAAGAGCATCGCGGCTTTTCCATTAGCATTTATCGTCCTAATTGCAGATATATTTTAGCTATCAGAAACTCGTAATGCGAAGTCACTCTTCTCGATTCTCGAAGTTCCATGAGGAGGGAAAAATGCGAGCAGTAGGAACACAGCAATAAGTATTAAGACCGTAAACTCTTTTAATAGTGTCAAGTGTAAATTTCAGTATGTTTTTAATATGTTTTTAATATATTTTTATTTGCTAGGTGAAAAGATCACTTTTTAATATCATACACGAAACTGTAGATTTAATGCAATTTTATATAGAAGAGCAATATAACGCAGTATCTAATGCCAATAGCTCTTAACAGCATCCTGATAAGCGAGTAAAAGCTTGTGACGCACTCGACTTCGAAACTGGTGATCTCTTGAAATCGTTAACCGCTAGTTGCAGTGTGAGCTTTAACGAAAGGGTCGATGAGCGAGCCATTAGAAGGACTAACGCGATACGTGATACGTCCCATTCCGTGTCCTCAATTGCCGCCGCCTTTGATTTCACTGCATCGTCGAAATCGAGATTGGATAATGATACGTGAGATCGTATTTTTCTCTCGTATTCGATGTGCAAGGTATCTTGATCCTATGACCCAATCTGAGATTTTTCTCAATTACTTCTTTGCTTTTAAAGATCTCAAAACATATATATATCAGTAATTTATCGACAGAATTACCTACATATGAAGAAACGTTAAAAGCGACTATAAATCTGTAAACATTTCAAAAAATTTTAAAACCGCTTTTTAAATTTAACACGAGCATTTCAAATTTTTGAGAGATAAAGCGATTTAAATATCATGTCGACAATATACGACGCCTCATACCGAATACATAAATGCAAGGAATTACTTGTTTCATTCAATTACTCCTACGCTGTTTAATCATACTTTAATTAAACTCCTCGCACGCGCTGCCCGTGGGAAAGTTTAGAAGTTAATACCCGTAGAGACGGCGATACTTTCATATTAGCGCGGCAGTCGGCCGACTTACGAACGCCAGTATAAAACGAGTTAATTACGTTATGGCAACGATGCGCCGCGCATCTTCCTCCTTTCCCCGTTGTTATTTCCCGGCGCGCGAGAACATCCCGCATCCAGACCTCGCGTTCTACGTGAGACTTTTGCTTTGCGACACCGCGCGAGAATTCTTTATTTTTATAATATGTACGTTATCCGAGACGTTATCTCTTTCTTGTCCGACGTCTAATTGCTTTACGCTAACTGCTTTATTAATGGCTCTGCCGTTATTAGTATTTATAATCTCTTTAAACAACCATATATCACACATAAATGTTCATTTGCCGTAACTGATCTGACAGCTCATGTTGGATAAAATGATAATTAAGCTTAGCAATCACACCTCTCGTGCTGCTTCGCTTGCTTCTTAAGTAATCAAATTGTCTGCAAACGAATTTCGCTAGCGCGTATATTTTCCGACAATTTTTTAGTCTTAATCAGGACTCGACACTGCGATAAAATTATCTTGCGAAAATCTTACACTGACACGAAACAGCGCTACACCGGGATTTTTCAATTCACGGATTACTCAACACGATGAATTAGCGGACTCGAATGGGGCCGGGAGATAAGCCGGGACGTAAACTGAACTCGACTACTTATTCACAATTTCCGCACCTGTGTTTCAGATGATGGCGATGTCGAGGCCGTGGTGCACAGGCCACAGCAGCGGGAATAGATAAGGCAGCGAGGGGCCGCGCGCGCCGTGCCAGTCATGTGTAGTGTCATGTGGCTTCTTCGGCTCCTGACGATCTATCGCTTGGCTCACCTCTCGGCATCCGGTACGCAGACAGGTGAGTGTGCGGTAAGAAGAGAAATGAGCGCTGCCGTTGCGAATTTTGCACGCGCGTGATGAAGCGACAAGGGAGCACACAAGGGCACAAACATAGATGGATCGTACCGTGAAATGAACGAACGTTGCTAATTCCTAAATTATCGTTGCAACAAAATCGACAGTCTGTCGAAATCGATTTACAGATCACGCCCGAATAGTATTTATGACTTGTACCGCGTGCGCTATTGCAATGGCGCATGTCCAAGTGTTAACAACATGAATCCCCGATGTTTGGCCTGCTCGTAGCACAGCGACGTAGAGTGAGTTATGGTAACACAATGTCGACTGCCATAAAGATTGCATCGAGAATTTCGAATTGGTCAGCCGACATTTAGTATGAAAGGTATGTGACAACGATCAGCTGTTCTCATGTGACGTTACTGATCGAGCATAAAATGAAAAGCATTCGCGCCATAAATCAATAATGCAATTAAATAACCGATAATATTCATATGTCAATCAAAATTTTTCAACAAAGGTAGCTATAATATAATTGAGAGATAAAACCGTATCTCGAACAGATATTTAAAGACTATATTATCTTGCAGTATATACGAAGCTTCTTTTTATCTCCTTTATGTGTAAATGCTATAACTTTGATCTAAGAGAGCATTTTGTGGTAATATAGGATATTATGGTTAAAGGACATACAAACTGTTACTTTTATCATAAATAAGATTTACTCATACGAGAGAGCTTCTCGTGAGTCGTAACATATTTTTACAACTTCAAAACTTTTTTATTCTGATATTCTCATTTCGTTGTTACACGTACAGTTGAGGACAGAAAAGTTGTCCGGTTGAATTTCGGAACGCATCCCATTTGGAAGTGCATGAGCACTAATGTACACAGCTTGCATAGTGATTCATTATAAGAGCAGACGAACAAGATGTCAAATATAAATGAAATTAGTTAAAGTTAATAAAAATGAAATTAGTTAAAAGAATTAGTAGCTGGATATTGAATATAAATATAAATAGGATGTTTCGAAACTCAACCGGATAATCTGTCCCCAACTGTACGTGTCACTCCTACCGTAATATACTATTCGGAAGTGAAAAAACGATATCCACCATTCCTTCTTTTGTCATGAGCCAAATACCACTCGAAACAGCAGTAACCCTGCGTCGCGTCGCGTCGCAAAGAGCTCTCCACAATGGACATTCCTCCAAGACCGCCGCGACTCACGGCACGCGGTAAATCATCGTTGTACGTTGCGAATGGTCACTGAGACTCGTATCGAATGTGTCAAATATCCGACTAACGTCCATCATCAAGGGAACGATGCTTAGTAGGATCCCATAACTTCATGACTTTAATGACGCTGGGGAATGCTTGCTCGCTCCATAGGTATTAGCAGCGTGACATTATATTTATAGCTTGCAATCACACCCAAATAGCCAACCAGATAACCAAATAGCCAGTAAATGCAACGTCTGAATTATGAATCTCTGAGTTATGTACTATTGGATGCTTTTTATTTCATACACGGGTTAAAGTGTGCTAAACTGACTTGTAATTAAATATAATTACCCGACTCATCTATCGGTACGATTAAATTATTAGCTTATTTATTGTTAAATACTCGGAAATTTTATATATTGCAATATATTTATATATTATAGTATGTTTTGTAATACAAAATCTCATATATAATATAATTTCATATAATTTCGTATTGTGATATAATTTTATATTGTGCGATAAATTCGTAATTTTCTTTTACACATTAAAGTGTGGAATGCGTGCGCGTGTGATTGGAGCTCATGCGAAATCTACGAGGATCTGAAATGTACGTGTCGCCCGCAAAAGAGCCTACCTATCTCGCGAGACGCGAGATGAATCTCCATGAAATTTAGATTACGGTCGAAGATAAATCTTGGATACGACAGAATGTAAATCCAAGAGACGATAATAACTTCCGAGCATGTTCTCTTATTACCTCGTAATACCGCGATACGACATGTTGTTTCGTATTGCACGTTGTACGTCGTTTTATATTGCATCTGATTAGTAGAACTAATCAAATATTTCATCGATAGATGACGAAGAAAGAAACATCTAAATGCTTTGTTGATTGTTTTTTTTTCTTTTAATAGAGAAACCATTACGTGCATCTATTTCTTAAACAAATTATTTAAAAGTTACTTCAATTTATATCTCATAAAGGTGCCAATTCATGAGACGCTGAAAATGAGCGTCAACAAGGTGAACGTGGTGGTTTCGCTTTGACGCTAGCGTCAAAGAAATGAAGTTGAATTTGTTTAATATTCAGCGTCGTCGCTGAATCATCGTTAATCGTCCCAGTACAATCAAACATAGACTTTAAAATACGTAAAATATTAATTATTTTCAAGTAATATCTTCAAGTAATAATATTTTATGGATATATATATAAATAAAAGATATTATTTCTGAAGATTTTTACTTGCTAAAAATGAGCGTCGAGCGTTAACGTGAAAAGGCACCTTAAAGCGGTAATTTTTCGATAATAATCAAGATTCAATTTTTTTATTATAAAAACATATTATACTTAAAAGCAAACCGTTTATGTAACAAAAGCTTAAATCATTATGTCGGAAAAAAGGAGAAAAAAAGAGATTGAAAGGATAATTACATATTGTAACCAGCACGCTTTGTTGTAAAAAGCAATGTCTAGAATCTAAGCACAAAGTAAAATTTCTCGCGAATGCACGTCATTAAATGATAGTAAATCATCGTAATTGGACTATTCATCTTCGTCCACTTCTTTCATGCACCTCGTCGGCCTCGTTTAGCGCGTTTCTTATTTCGCTGCCTCGGATTAACTACGTGATTCACTTCTGGGATTGGAACATATAATCGTTAATAGTTTATGCAACGACGTGCTGGAGAATTTCGCAGCAATGCGGTCTCTTCTGCCGAAGACACGTTATCTCTCGATAGAGGCGGTTATTGTTCCTCGTAAGGCGGAAATGAGCTGAGCGGCCCATCTTGGCATTGTCAGATGCAACAGTGCCGCGCGATGTCGGTTCGCATGATGGTGAGGATAGCGCGCAGAACGCAATTATCGAGAGATTCCATTAAGACGGCAACAAAAAAAAGGGACTGCCGTATACGCTTTCCGGTATTATTCCGGTCGAATTATTGTTTTTATGACAAATGTTTTGCATCAATTATTTGCTGCATCGATAATCGAGTTGAGATACAAATTACATTCTATCGGATCGGCTGTCAATTATTTTGCAATGAATTTAGGATTATCGAAAATGTCGGAGCGAAGTAATGGCATGTCGAAATATTAGCACGCCTAGTATACTCTAAATTGCAGCGAGTAAATTTATTACATATCACAAACAGGCTCGGATCACGGATATAACGCGATATTTGAATTTTGCGCATCAATGATAATAAGATTATAGGTATGAACCGTATGCTTCATAATCCCGTGTACATAGCTTCCAATTAAATCGGTCTTTATTAATTCCACTACATTATTTCGCATGTTACGCATGTTCTGCAACTTTGCAAAATTACAAAGATAATTGAATTTTTGGGCTAATCATGACGAATAGTAACTTCGATGTCTTTGGTATACAACTTCGTCTTTGGTTTAAAAAATCCTGCAAAAGAATAATTAGTTTGCCATTGGTGCGGCGACCTTGTTGCGTCATGAGACAGCGCTGCCCAGGGAAATTGTCCAAACAAGAGAATCGCTGCGGCGAAATACCAATCGACGCGTTTCTCTGCTATGAGAGCGTCACGTCGCTCAGAGGGAAGAGAATGGGTGCAACGTGGACGGTTCGAAACGCGTGCAGAATTTCTAATCTACTTGGTACACCGCGACGTGGGCGCGTACGCAAATCATGAAAGTGACAAAGCGATCGGCACGCCGACATGTACGATTAATTCCCAGGGGGATCGATGCCCAGCACAGCGCGTTGCCCAGCATCGCGGAATGTTACCTGACGTCCTTGCGTACACCATGTAAATTAAATGCGTCTATGTCGAACAGAGCATGCCGAGTACGTGAGCACGTATTCGTTAATACGGTAACCTGCAGCATCGGTCCATCCATCTCTTCTACAACCGCTCCTCTATATCATGCGTATACTCTCCCTCTTTCCCTCTCTCCCTCTCCCTCTCTCCCTTCTTCCTTCCTCCCTCTCTCTCTTCTTCCCCTTTTCTCCTCTTCTAATTGTCTCATTATGTTTTGATTAATTAAAACGGTCGGTGAAGAGGGATGACGTTGGTTAAATAATTAGCACACAGTCGAGATTGTGTAAATATAATTATATTTATATGTTTATAATATATATAAATATAATAAATAAATGAAATACTTATAATTGACTATATACCGGGTTATCCAATCAACATCTTCGTTCGCTTCTTTTCTATTTCCGGCAGTTTAATCACACATAGTCAAAGTAAATCTGAATGTTACTTCGAATCAATACGACATATACGTGTATACAGAACATATTGACATGGCGCGTAATGCACGTGCTCGTTGCGTGCGTGGCTGCATGACGTCTGCAATACCCGCAATACGAGAGAACTACTCGAACATGCAACCGAGCGTTCGCCGTGAGTCCATCCGTATATACCTGCAATTCTCGCAATTTATAGTATCTGCAACGCGTTGCACCTGCAACACATTTGTCATAAATCGGCCGGTTCTACGAATCGGTTTCGCGAAGCTATCCAAAGTGTAAGGTATAATGCGTACAATATGTTCTCTATATTTACGAACATTACACGAATATCGTAAATTGAATGTAGAAGAAAAATCACGAAGCGAACGTTTTGTGACGTCAAATTTATAAGGCCTTAGCGAAAAGTAAATGGGTTATGGAATGATAAATATTCAGATATGGTTATTTATTAGCAAGGAAAGAACATATTATGCATGTTACATCAATTTAAAATAAGAGATATTTTTGTTCTTTGTAAAAATAATAATTTTATAGTATTGCTTAATTGAAAAAAAGAATTCCGAACTAAAAAACTATTTCGTTTATGAAATACATAAAATCATCTAAATGCATATAAAAATTATTAAGTATAATATGTACGAATATTATTTTTATAAGATATCAAGTATTCTCTCTTTCGTTAATATATTATTTGAATATATTCACCATAAACCAAAATATTTATGATAATTTCTTGCATTTATTGTACTAAATAGATAGAAAATGGCTATTACAAAAATTCCACATACTCATATATTGACAAAGTGAATATACTAGAAAAATAAAGGCGAGACGGGTAAGATCTACTGATCCCTAAACTGCATCATAAGCCTACGACGATGTGTAACACGTGAGGTTGCACAGTGAAGCGTGCATAAAACATGAGAGGTCCAATAGACTGTGTTACGAATCAGAATTATTTATTGTGGTTTGAACCATGCGATTGTACCATGCATTTACAACGGCACGTTTTGTTTTCTATCTACAGCCTCGATGTATGAAAATGGAACCAAGCATTGAAAGACAATCATAAAAAGGTTGAAAACCGCTGTTCTAGAACGACATTTTCGAACTAAACCCAAAGAACGCAGAGGTAGAGCGTATATAGAATACACGACGCGCGCATTTCCCAAGTGGAATAGATCAACGTTTGCCGCAACCGCAGGGTCCTCTGCTCATTCGCGCGATATGCGAAATGCATGATACGTACGCGCACGTTTTTGGCGTTATGTATTAGAGTTATATATTTTAATATGAAAATATATTGAAAACATCGGGCTAAAATGAAAAAATATTCTCTTTTTAACAAGAAAATACTGTTTCCCCACTATCGTAACTAGATTTTAAAATTTATTTTGTTTATTAGCCAAATACCGTTTAAAACATTAATTAACGATTATAAATATAAAGACAATTTTGCAAAAAATAATATAACAGTAAATATACTAAATGTATATTTGTAGAAAAGCGAGCTTATAATATTTTAATTTTATTATAATTTTGCTATATATTTTATCTATTCTAGAAATTTTAGAACATTCGTGTTTGTTTTATGTCTCACATTAACTTATATGCGTGCTTATATAAGAATAATTATATAACAGTATCTAGATGTACTAAATGTATTTGTAGAAAAGTGTTAATACTTTTAACTTTATGTATGATTTTGCCGTATATTTACGTTTGAAGAATATATTATCTTGGCACAACACTTACAACATCTCCTCCACATGTTTCGTATCGTTCTTCGCGCTACCGACTCAAGATTTCGCTAGCATCTGACAGAATAAACTCGTATAATTAGTCACGCCGTATAGTCTGGTATACCTATACCAGCGTGATTTCAGAATGTATATCTTGCCAACAAATGGTTACAATCAGCTGGTACCAGCGACATACCGACACGGCCATCTCTCTTCAGCTTAGTACTCGAATGCCGGACTTCGAAAGTTGAATTACGCCGTATTTCGCGTGAGTGGTCGGGAATTAACGACGCTTCGCCATTTCTGTTTGCTTGTCAGCTGTTCAAATATTGTTTGTACATGGATCATTCTATTTCAATTTCAATCCCTCTCTGCGGAAAGTTTTCGGAGATTGGTTTACTGCATGTATTGTGTTATGTAACACGTACTATCAAAATTACCTCTCTATCACAAGATCGCTGAATTCTAATGTCCTAAACTTTAATATATTTTTATTAAATGTCTTTTTAATTCTAAATATCTATAACATATAATTTCTAATATATTCTTATTAAAAATATATCTGCTCTTGTGCAAAGTATATGCCAATTATAAATTCAGAAAAATATCGTGATTTATCACATTTGATTATCTCCTTCCTGACACACCTACCAACATCGCTGGAAATAATTATATGCAATTTATCAGAATAATAAGAACACCGTGCAGTTTATAAAAACATCTATTGAAGATTATTTAACATATATGCAAGCAGATTAATGACTCATCACGATCAGTTATCGAAATATTTCAATATTTTCCTGCAGTACATCAACTGAAACATCGTTTTCCATAATCTTATTTTTCTTTTGAATCATATCAGTTTGATCGCAAGCCTGCGTGAACGAAAAATTATACATACCGCATATTTCTGAACTCGTTCCCTTAACAACGCGACCGTATCAAAGCAAAGCTTCAGCAGGTGATATTAATGTCAATACGACGTAACGATTTTCATATCCGAGAGAGAGCGAAAGAGAGAGAGAGAGAGAGAGAGAGAGAGAGAGAGAGAGAGAGAGAGA